CCCCGGCCGGAGCCGGCCGCCGGGGCAAAGCCCGGACCGGGCGATACCCCCCGTCCCGCTGCGGGGCCAGCCCTCATGGCCCGCCGGCCCCCCGGGCCCTGCCGGCGGCGGGGTCCGGAGGCGTCCGGTGGGGCTGCGCGCCCCGGGATGCCGCTTGCCGTGTCATCTGCCCCGGCAGCGCTCCGCCACCGCCTCGGCGCAACCTCCCCGGGCTTATATAACTCCCCGCTTGGAGCGGGGCCAGCGGCTCGATCGCCGGGCTGTGCCGAGGCCCGCACGCCGGCCCACGGGTCGCCCGTGGGGTCTGCCCCGGCACCCGGCGGCCCCCTCCGTGTGGCGTTAACTGCTTCCCCGCCGTCCCGCGGCCCTGTGGCGGGGGGGGGCAGCCCGGCGTGTGCGAGCCACCGGCCACCTCCTCTCCTCTCATCTCCTGGGATTATCCAGCGCGAGGATGACAACTCCCGCTCCCTCCCGCGGCATCACCTGCCAGGGAATGTGCTGACAAAGGTGGTGCCAGCTAAGGGCTAAGCTGTCCCCGCCACTGCTCGCGGGGACGGTGGCGGTGGCACGCGGCTCGGAGCTGCTGCCCCTGCCCTGCTGTGGCACCGCGTGGCCCTGGTCACCCCCTCCCTGCTCCCGGCACAGACGGCTTGGCCAAGCTTGGGGTGGCTTCGTGTCTGCTATGGGACATTGTGTGGGAGGGTGGGCTCTGCTGTGGGGCTGCGCTGCCCCACGGCCACGGCCTGAGGCTGCTCCCATCCATGATGCCCTCATGGGTGCTGGCAGAGTTGAGGCCTTGGATGCCTTGGCCCAGCAGAGGTTTGGAGACCCAGGAGCATCCCTGGAGTGGGATCTGCAGGAGAGAGGGGACAGGATTCTCTGCTTGGGATTGCTGCAGGCTAACGGGACTGCCTGCTTGGAAAGTTTCCATGCGTGTGGCACATCCTGCCCCAGGTTGCCAGGCTGTCCCCATGGGGGTACTGGACACAGCTGTGCCCACACAGGGGGAGCAGCCCAGAAGGGGCTGCCAATGGAGGGGAGGGCTGCATCCCCCATGGGAAGCCCTCGGGGCTTGGTGACAGCCCCAAGTGCTGGCTCACCCCACGGGGATACCCCGTCCCCTCCCACATTCCCTGCAGGTCGAGCTGCTCCTCATGTCCCCAGGGCACAGTGGGAGCCTGTGGTGGGTGCGGTGCTGGTGGTGACCAGGGGGCTACATGGGGCATGGCATGCGGGGATATTCAGAGGACCCCATACAGGTGGGCTACAGCGTCCATGGTCCTGTGAAAAGGTGGCTGTGCAAAGGCTGGCCTCTGTCCTCTCCCAGGGGTGTCCCATTTGTGGCCACTACCCCAGACATCTGGGGGCTGTGGCCCCCTCCATTGCCTCTGGCTCTTGTCCTGGGAGATGTGACCCCACTGGTGCCATCAGCCCAGGGAAAGCACATCCTGCCAGCAGCACCTCCTCTCTGTCCCCCCAAGACCATGGTGGCAGGAGATGGCATGTCCCAGTGCTGCACCTGAATCTGGGCGCTGCTCTCTCCCCTTGGGCTCCATGAGCATTGGCTCTGCCCTGGGGAATGCTGAGCTGGACCAGACCCCGTGGGGTGCTGGGGTGCAGGGCAGGGTCCCCACCTCCCTGAGTCTCCAGACAGATGAGTGACCTGCTCCCTGACTGCTGCTGGCAGCAGGTTTGGTGCCTCCCAAGGCACCATCTGCATCAGCCTATGCTCCTGCAGCCCCAGGGCTGAGGTGTCCCTCTGTCCCTTGGCCCTTGGTCTGGAACAAGCCCTGCAGGGCCAGAGCCTGCTGTGACATGGGTCCCTGAAGGTGCCACCTTTGTGTGAGGTGGGATGGGGGTGACAGTCCAGCCAGATGGCAGGACTGAGCACGCTGTGGCTGCTGCCGTGACTACACGAGGCCGTGGCTGGGTGTGACAAAGCAGGTGTGTGGGAGAGCTGTGACACAGATGGACCAACCTGTTGCATTGTCCCCATCTCAGTGGTGATGTGGCTCCTTCAGGCACACCTGCTCCTGAACAAGTGTCCTTGTCTCTGCTGACCCAAGCCTCCCATGGGCTGTCCCCATGTGCCCTGGCCCCACGCTCTCTGCTCTCCCATTCCACAGCCCTCCCGAGGCCAGGACGGGGCATGGGCCACCCCCGGGGCTGGTCCAGCCTGATGCCAGCAGTGGCTGGGCTCTCTAAGGGCTGGGAAGAGAGGACAGCAGGAAGGAGGGATTTGAACAGCTCCAGCATCTCCTTTCTGAGAGGGATCTGCAGCTCCCAGACGCTGGGGATGGTTGGGCAGTCGCCTCCATGGTGTCCCATTGGTGCTGGCAGGAGGACACCCCTTGCATTTGGAAGCTGGCAGGTCTAGCAGACCTGTCACCTACCTGGAAGCAGCCACTTCTCCCAAGTCATGGGACTGTCCCCGACTTGTTCCGTGGCTCCGGAAGCATCGCCGGGGTTTGCTGCAAGGGTTATGTTCCTCCCGCTGGGACATGGCAGGTGTCACAGCCTCAGCCCCCGGCTTCCTAAACTGCTTCCTTCCTGGACGCTGTGGTGAGAAGGTCACTTGGCTGGACACCTGCCTTCGCCGGGGCCGCACCCAGCCTGATTGCTGCTGTGACCCTCGGCTGGAAGCCACCCCGCTGGCAGGGAGTCCCCGAGAGAGGAGGCAGTCACAGGCAGCCCATCCCGGTCAGGACAAGCCCCCACCCCTCCGCCCCCCGACTTGCCATGCATCCACCCCATGTGCCCCTCTCCCACCCCTCAGGTCACCAGCAAGGAGGAGCGCAGCCCTCTCCTGTCCCCAGCACCAGGCTGGTGGCATTGGCCACCTGCAGCTCCCAGCAGCTGCCTCGGGGCTACGGTGCTGGAGGAATCATTAGTGAAACCAGGCTGGGGACAGCCCCAGCAGGGGAATCCCTCTGACTCCCCTAAAGACGGCCAAAGGCAGCAGAAGAAAGAGGCCAGCCAAGCTTGTTTGATAGCTTTATTGCTTCTGTGATATGACTGAATCGATGTGACATAAGCCGGCTTGGAGGAGCCTGCAAGACTCTTGCCCTCCCTGCCTAGAGGGGAAATTAAAAAAAAAAAAAAATAACTGCAGAATCTAAAACTAATTTTAAAAACTCATGGAGTTCTTGCACCTCAGCTTGGTACAGTACCAGCGAGTGCACTGGCCTTTCGAGCGAGTCCCTGTGCGAGGAGCTGGTGCCCAGAGGGGCTGGGTAGTGGCCTGGGTCACCTGCACCGAAGGACAGGTCTCTGACACTGCGTGTGATGCACCTTGTACCGATGGCCCGTGCCGTGCTGGTCCTGCTGGAGCTCACCATGGCGCCCACCTCGCTGCCAGGCCCTCTGGAAGCCCTTGCCCACCCCTGGTGCTGCCCACCCCCAGCCTGCCTGCCCCAGACTGACACACACAGACAGACAACCCTGTCCTGACACCTTCCCCCTCTCCCAGCAGTGCCCACACGGAGGGGTAGGGCTTCCCTGCTGCTCCCTCCCAGGAAAAGCAGACGCTGGAAGCCCAGAGATGGTGGAAGCTCGGAGATGCTGGGCTGCAGAGGATCCTGTTGCCACTTCCTGCTCCCCGACTGCGCTGTCTCCATTTGGTACATGTGAGCTGGAGGCCACAGCATGGCCAGCCATAACAAGGTAAGCTGGTGGAGGGAGCCCGATGCTGGGGTGGTGGGCACCAGGGAGGGCTGTATGGCACCAGTGCATGAGCAGCCCGTGCTCATGGTGTGGTCAGCGTGGCAGCAGCTCTCTGGCAGCCCCTCTCCCCCGGAGCTGTATCCGCTGGCTGCCCTGTGGCTCCCCAGATCCGCTCCCTCCATCAACCGGAGCAAAACCCGGTTGGAGGAACGGGGCTCCTCGACCTCCCCGGCCTCTCTCTAGGCAGGTTCCCTGCCACCCGAGTGGCCTTTCTGCACCGCGGCGCGTCAGAGGCACCAGGCAACCCCGCTCTATATTTAGGCTGTGGAGAATTCCCCTGGGCTCTCCCTTCCGAGCTGAAAAGGTGAGTCACTGCGAGGGAGAGGCCAAGACTCACATCCGTCCCACTGACCCTGCTCTGACCCGCGCGCACCGCTCCGAGCTGGCAGGACTGCAGCCTTTTGGAGGGCGGGAGGTGGCTGCAGGTGCAGGCAGGGAGGCAGCCAAAGGAACAGCATCCCGGAGCGAAACCCAGCGCTGCGCCCTGCTCCCGGGGCACGCACCCCCAGCGCCCGGCCGCGGGGCTGCTCCATGGCTGCGCTTGTCCCACCAACATCAAACGGGAGAGTGAGTTAGGGCCTTTGGCCCCCAAACAACTCCCCGTCCTCTCTTTCCTTATACTTGCAGGTCCTGACCCACCAGAGTCACCCTGGACCGTGCACTCATCTCTTCAGCTTGGGCATTTCTGCCTGGAGACCCCCACCAAGGTGGAGGGAAGGGCTTGGAGTCACCTCGCTCGTCTGCAGGGACATCTTGCCATCAGGACCTATCCCTGCCGGGGAAAGCAGAGCAGGGGCCACGCTTCCTCCGTGGACCTGGAGCCTGTGAGCTGGAAGGTAAAGGTGCTCCATAGCTTTGTAGTGCTCAATAAAACGGACTAAATCAAATTAACGGCATCACAAGCCTCCGTGGGGATGCTTCCCCCAGAGGGTGGAGAGGAACCTAGTACAGACACTGAAGGCTCTTCACCCACCTCTTCCTCCTCCCAGCTAGAGCCACCCTGCTCTCTGGCATCTCATCTAACTGTAGCATATAGATGTCGCCCATCACCACCCCAGGGCTCCCACAGCAGCTGGTTAAAGACCCAGTTCAAGCACCACGGCAGAGGGACAACCTCAGCCAGGTCCAGCCCAGGCACTCCCACTGCTGCCATGGCAAGAAGTCTACAGACAACAGTCCCGGGTCCAGGCTGACACACAGGAACCGCAAAGAGAGTGTTGCCTGGCAAGAGCCATGGAAATCTGGTCCCCCAGGCTCCTTGAGCAGGAAAAGCTAATTGGGGTAGAATACTCATATGCATATCTGCCACAACACATGCTCAAAAACCTGCTGGAAACCTTACAGAGCATCCTGATGGGAGGCACTGCCAGGGCAGTCGTGTAGAGAAGCAGGGACCACCTGGCTGGGAGGCCAGAGGGACAGGGAAAAGGGAAAGGAGAGCCTCCCAGCATCTGTCTTCTGCAGCCTGGAAGAGGCAGGATCTTTGAGCAGCTCCTAGACTATAAGGCAAGCAGCAGGTGGACAGGACTTGCCCCTGAGTGAGCTCATTGGCTATGGGTGCACCAAGCAGGAGAGGCTCCTGAGGAGCATGTCCCACACTGGTCTGTGGGCAGCACCCAGCACCGCATCCTGAGAGCTGCCTCTGCCTGGCAGGTGCAGCCTGGTCTCAAACCATTCCATACAGTTTGCTCCTCTGCCCCACACCTGGGTCACTGCCTGCCCCTCCTGCACATCCCCTTTGGGGTCTCAGCCCCAGAGCCACAGCCCCCTGCAAGTCAGCGGGAGCAAAGGTGGCCCAGGGGAACCATGCAAGCCCTGCTCTGAGCATCTCTTGACCATGTCAGGGCCACGCTCTCCCTTCAGCTTGGAGCAAGGCCAAGGATTGCAGTCTGCCTATGTCAGATGCAGTGCCAGGACCGTGAGCCCAGGCAGCACCCCTCCGGGACCCTCCCTCCACTGGCTGGTGCCTCCAAACACAGGGACTTGGCATGGGACAGTGATGGTGGGCACAGACCATCCCAATCCAGGCTAGGAGAGTGTGGGAGCCGATTTCCACCTGTAACCATTCCCCTGGCAATCCCTCTGGGCCCACGCTCTCCAGGTGGAGGAGACGACCCTGCTGTCCTCGCACTCAGCCACGTTGCTCAGTTTATTCCAGCTCCTCTGAAATACGTATACAAATCAAATGTGCAAATACTGCATCTTGGGACCAAAACGGCAAAGGAAGGGACGTGCTCCTGAGAGCAGGAGCAGCAGCAGTGCTGGAGCAGCACGGGAGGAGCTTGGAAATGAAATGAGCAGGGGGCCGAGCAGAGGGTGAGGGTTCCCAGCAGGCCCCTACCCGTGCCAGCAGGCTCCATCATCACTGAGGCCACACATCGCTTAAATAGAGAACATGATCGAATCTGCAACATAAACCAAACATCTTCGGTGGCCTGCTCTCAAACTGTAAAGCTTCAGATCTCTGAGCAAGATCTGACCTCCTTCCAAAGAATAAATTACTCCTCTCCCACACAAAAATAAAGTGAGATGTTGTCCAGAAACAGTGACACCAATCTGCGTGGACTCCACGGGGGCCCTGCACAGCAGGCATGAACCAAGAGGCCTGAAAGCCTTGAGCACAACGAGGCTCCTCAGCGCCATGACCGGCAGGAAGGTGGGGAGGGTCTGCTGCAGGCAGAGAAAGCCACCAGCTCCCCGCTCCACCTTGGGGTCAGGGCAGAGGCAGAGCAGGGCGAATGGCTATGGAAAATGCAGCCGAGTAAGTGGCTGCTGCTGCCACCTCTACGTGGGAAGCAAGGAAAAGTGCAGAAAAACAAACCCATGCTCATCTCCAACCAGAAGCTCCAAGTGGAGAAGGAGGGAAAGCCGTTATTCTCCCTTCAAATTATAGCAGCACCAACGACACCAAAGTTTTGGACGGATTTGTTTTCCTGGGGAAAGGTCTGAGGCCGGTGACAACGCAGATGGAGCATGGAGAGGCCGGGCTTTTTGCAGGGCTGTGCACAAGCAGACTATGCCTTGCACCTTGGTATTTCTAGTATGATTCCAGCAGAGTTTCTTTTAAAAAATAATACTTTGTACATTCAGGCATTGCTGCCTCGGGGCAGCGTCACCTCCCATTTGGCACAAATCGTTTTATTCACAAACCTTTCTTCTCTCTCCTGAGTCTTTCCTGTGTAAATCAGGACACAGAAGATCCGTCTGCGATGCAGAGTTCTACAACTGCCCACTCAGCCCCTTGCCCACCTCCTTCCAGCTCTAGACCTGGAGGCAGCAGATGCAACCCTCATGCAGACTGGCACTGCAAGAGGGTCTTCCCAGAGCACCTGGGCATCTCTGTGTGTCTTCAGTGAGGTGGGATTCTTGCAGGGGGCTGCCAGTGCCCGCTCCTAGAGCTGCAGCGTGTGTTTTCGTCTCCTCCCTTGGAGGCAGTGGCTGCAGCCACTCAGATCCCACTGGTTAGGTCAGTGATGACTCGGGCTTTCACCAGCTTCCGCAGGAACTCCTTCTCCCGCTGGATGTTGTGCGTCCAGGACTGGAAGGAAACGGGAAAGACAGAAGGTCAGTAGCTATCCTGGCCAAGCAGGCTCCCGTCCCCCACATTGTAAGAGACCCCAGCTGGGGCAGGGCAGTGGCTTTTGCCAAGAAGACAGACCCCGCTGTAGACCAGAAGAGCCCTCGCAGACCAAGGCCTTCTCTTACCTGAAGCCAACATAAGCAGCAGGGTCAGACCCATGTACCTGACGTAGGAGGTCTCTCCATGGGTTGGGTGAAGTTTTTTTGGCATGGTGAGATCATTATGAGAAGTGCCTTCACCTTGGGCAGGTACAGTTGCTACAGTGCCCTCCCAAGCCACCGCACACAAGAGTCCAACAGCGCAACATTAACAGTGATGTGTGCCAGGGAACAGAGCTGGCAGAGAACGTGGTGGCAGGGCATGTTGTACCTCCATACAGCTCCCTGCCAAGGGAGGCCTCTTAGGGAAATGCTTAGGGGTGCAAGCAGCTGAAAACCCCCAAGACCAGCACCACCAAAGCTGTCTCTTGCCTCTGCTACCCCTACCAAGAGGAAATCACATGCTAAAGGTTACACAAATACAATGTGAAGGGTGAAATGGTCACATCTCCCACCCAGGCATTTCAGAGCAATGATTGCTATAGCTGGTGTCAGCCCACCCAGATGTGTTCCCTACAGCAGGCTTTAGCCATAATCACAGCATCTGCCATCACCCCCCTGCGCTGGTACTATTAAAGCACTTAATGAGAGCAGTAAGTGGTTTGTCCCCCGAGGAGATCAAGGCAGAGCAGGGAAAAGCAACTTTCCTCAAAATCTCCCAACAGGATAAGAATCCCAGTAAACGGATCCACGTCTCCAGCAGAATGCTCTGGCCAGCAGGTAATCTGAGCTCTAAATACGATCCGGACCATGATAAAATTACTCTACAGGAGCCTCCCTGAAATGGCCTCAAACCAAAAAAGTGCCAGCCCAACAAGTCCTCTGAGGGCACTTTGTTATAGGTATCTAAACCCAGTTTATCCACTGCAAAACCATGGGCACATGCCCACAAAGCACTGTTTGTATCCACACACAAAGTGCATGTTGCTCTCCTGTCATCTGCTGCTTGTTCTGTCCTCTCCTGTCCAGGACCATCAGCTCTCAGCCATGACTGCTGTGTGGCACTGACAGCCCCAGTCACGGTGTGCAGCCTGCTGCCAAGAGGTCCAAGGGACTGAAGGTCCCTCTTTGCATCTCCGGCTTATTTTGGAGATACCTCTTTTGTTGCTACTGTGCATTTACAAGCCCCTTCCATCCCCTCAGTGCACAGGAATGCCAACAGTTAAAGCTGCTAAGGAAAGTTCAGGCAGGTCTTATCTTGTAATCTGTGCTCAGGAGTCTTCGACTTCTGCTTCCATTGACACCGTTACCTGAACGCTGCAAAGGGGGCACCAGCACCAGGAGCAACAGGGCCACTCGTGGTACTCTGTGCTGGTGCTCTTTGGGACTCTGAAAATGCAGAAGGCTCCATCTCCAAACTGAAAAGCTGCTGTCCAGAAACAACTCAGCGCTTGGCTTCTGCTAGCATAAAAGCAGAAACTGAAAACTGGCACCGGGAAGAAAGCTGGCTCGTAAAAGGGAAAAATGCATGAATTTCAGAAAGCAGCAGCGGGAGTGATGGTGGTGCAGAGCAGAGGGAGCTGGGAGAGCAGGGCTGTGTGTGCCTGTCACTCGGAGCGGGACAGCCAGGATCCCCCAGCGTGCTGGAAACAGTCCCACATGTGGCATGTCAGCTGGGGGGCCCGGGTTTGGCCCCCACCACGCAGCAACATCTCTTCTGAGATGCTAGGAACGCACGGCACCGGCAGAGGCAGCCAAGTGTGCGTGTGTGCTCCTGCCAACAGGCAGCGAGCAGCTGTCTGCTGGCACAGAGGCCACGCCGGGAACACCGGTCTCCATGCATCCACTTACATCTGGCCGGGCTTGTTGTTCAAAGCCTATTTGGAGCACCAGGGAGCCCGATGTGCTTGAGATGTCATAGCACAAGCTGATCCCTCCTTCGCGTCTTTCAGCCTCATCAAACATAAAAGAAGTCAACTGGTTTCACCCCCTACAACCTGCTTGCGTCCCTTGGTACAGATGGTAACTGGGGAAGCAGCCACTTCTAGGCAAACACAAACCACCTACAACGTCACCTCAGGCCACATGCAAGTGCCTTATCTGATGGCGAGGGGAACTCTGCTTGCGTGAAAGGTACAAGTGGAGCAGGAATTTAAATACAAGAGGTGGATAATAAAACTTTGGGTGATACAATTGCAGTCTCTCACATTACGGCTGGGTCTGGCTCCACCACTGACTGCAAGGCTGCTGGCAAGACCGATAAACCTCTGGCTGTTCAGCATCCAGGCTGCTCTGTACCCCGGGCACTGCCACAGACTCCTCTTTCCAAGCAGAAAGCCACATGTAAGGGAATTCAGCCTCCCACTTGATCCATGCATGGTAGTGGTGTCCACGGCAGTCCTCTCAATGTTTTGTGGTTGAATGTAAGACCACAGAGGAAGAGGATTCCCCGGCGAGGACAGGATTTTGTCCCCTCCTAAGAGCACTAGCAGGGTGCTTGGTGCGGTGCTGCTCCCCCCACGTCTGACAGCAACACAGGCAGGAAGGATGAGGCATGTCTTCAACACCAGCTCCAGTTACTGATTACAGGAGAGGGACTCACCCCACTGACAGACAGAGCTAATCAGGCGGAGGAAGCTGCATTCCAGCACCAGCAGCCGCAGTGGGGAGAAGAGACAGAGCAGATTTCTCAAAAATGTCAGAGAGGCAGGCACTTCGCTCCCATTGCCCTGACAGGGGGAAGGCAACAAAATATGCCCTAAACCCCAGCAGATTTTAGGGTGTATACACCCTAAATAGCACCCTGGGTAGCACACACCAGTGGCAGGCAGGAGGGTTCTTGACTGGCTGCAGGGCCTCATGAAATGCCAAGTCTCGGCAGGGTCAGGTTTGCTTTGGGGTCAGGACCATGTTATGTCTGTTGTAAGGGGAAGTTCTTTTTTGCAACCCTTCACTGGGTAAGTCAAGGTGCTCCATGTACCTAAGCTTGCAGGCAAGTTGTCCTGGAAATCTTTCAGCTGACGCAGTGTCCTGAGCTGCAGCAGGATGATAAGAAATAGGTAACGCTCTGGCCACTTGTGTTCCCACAGACACAATTGTGCTGTCAGAGTGCTCATTTTGACATTTTCAGCAGAGGGTTGTGAGCAGGATCCACGCCTGGAGGATCATTACATGAAACAGCTGCAACGCTGGTGGTTTATTCCTGCTACTATGCAAAGCAGGCTTTTCCTGCCCTCGGATGCTGGATGCGCTTTGGCTGCGCTGGCAAGATGCTGGCTGTCCCTTCTGACTGCTTTTGACCTTCTCTTCCCATGCACACCGAGCCGTTACTGCCTCATTTCCTATTCCTGTATGTGGGATTGTTCACGTTCACAAACCTCCTGCCCCGAGTCCTGAAGCTTCACCTCAGCATCACAAACAGAAAACTCCAGCTTTTCTCTCCTGAATCTGCACCTCCAGACAGAGACAGAGACAGAGCAGCACAGGGCATTCATGTCACTGCACGTCCCCACCACCGCTGCTCCTGCAGCCTGGCAGGCTGGCTCTGTGCAATCCCCCCTCCAACACTCGCATCGAGCAGACGGCTGGTACAGCTTAGAATCACAGAAAGACCCTAAAAATCATTGAGTGCAACCATTTGTTTCCACTTCTGCAAATAAACGGGTTGCTTGTCTGAGCTCACAATCAGAATAATGAACTTCTGGGAGCTCCACCAGGAACACCGCAGGAGGCTCCAGAGACCTCACTGCTACATGGGGTTCAGGCTGGGATTTCCTTTGCTTCGGTTCTCTCTCTGATTAGTGGATATTTGCTTTTTTCAGTGGAGAGAGAAACAGCAGGAGGAGCGTTGCTCTGCAAGCAGATGCACTGCTATGGCTGTCCGTCCCAGAGAGGTGGCAGCGGGTCTGATGTCTGATTGTTTTGTCACAGTTATTAGATCAAAATTTATCATCAGCTAAAGCCACCTTTCAGGGTTATGCAAATGCACCAGCCTCACACCACCTGGCCTGTTTTTCTTGACAAATCCACGAGGAAGCACAAAACGTCCTCTGTCCCTTCAGGAGAAGCCAAGTAGAATATTTCAAGATTAAGAAAATGTTTCAGAGACCAACCCAGGAGGAAGGTAAGCTCCCCATCTGTAATCAATTACAATGGGGGAATTCCTCAGCTTCAGAGCAAATTAGTCTTATCAAGTATATTGCAATATTTTAAAATGCAGAAAGATTAAATCAGAGAGAGTGAAGTCAATGAGGAACGCACTCAAGAAAAACAGCAAGTTGGAAAGCAGGAGGTTTCTCAGTTCCGTTACATCCTCCATATTTCTGCAAGTCAGCAGCATTTCTCCCAGAAAACCTGAAAAAACAAATCACAGCAGCAGCAAGAAATGCTACTTCACTGGTAACAGCCAGTTTCCAGTCTCCACTGGTGCTAATTTATCTCTACCTTTAACCTTCACTGACTTATCTCTAGAGCTGCTTATTTTTTGTGATTCTGCCTTGCCCACGCCCTTGCTGTGGTCCGGGGATAGTGACCATGCACACTGGGTGTCCCATGGCCACCCCTGAGCCGCAGTTTCACCTCCCGTGACACCAGTGCCCTGCCTCCTTCACGACCCGTTGCCCCCTCCTCTCTCAGTCCATCTGCTGGGAAGAGGCAGCACCGCAGACCACCCCGTCCCCCCCGCACCCCCGGGAGTCACACGTACTGAACCAAAAAGCAGGGCTGGGCACCCTCCCCTCTTCACCTTCAGGAGATTTACTCACAGCTCCTTTAAGCCCAGTCATTCTTACACCAGCTTGAAATTTTAAACTGCTCTTTTAGCTCCTGCTTATTCTTAATATATATAGAGAGATCAACTGTATCTCTTCTCAGTCTTCATTTTACCAAGCTAAACAAGCCATGTCTTCCACCAAAACAGGC